TTTAGATTGGGTTAGGGCTAATTTCTTTCTTTATTAGTAAAGACAGGGTCTTCCACTTTTCTTGGCTTTCAGCTGTTTTGAAGCCGGACCTCTGCTTGGACGCGACCTCCCCACCTCGGCCTCCCAGGAGTGGCTTAGGGATTATAAATGGGCCATTAAAGCCACCGCACCTGGGCGGGGTTTCTTAGTCTTTTAAGAAAGTTGTCAAGGGTTTTCAATTCCACAGATTCAATCAGGAGGAAAAAAGGCTAGCTAGCCAGAGGATGTTTAAATTTTTTCCAATTGGTCTGGAAGTATTGGGCTTTTCAATACTATAATAGGTTTAATTAATTCCCCCTTTCCACGTTTAAAGAAAATTAAAATTTAAAACAAAGTTCTTTTAAAAAAAACTCCAGGGGATTTTTCCCCCAATTTAATTAGAAGGAATGGGAAAAAGGGGGCTTTTGAATTTTGGTCACCGCCAACCAGTTCTAAAAAGGATGGAGATTAAAAAGGAATTTCCGTATTTTTTCCAAAAACCCACTGCAAGCTCTACCACTAATTCCCATTTCCATAAAAATCATTACTCTAATTTTTTTCCTGGTTATAACGAACAACACCAAACCCATCACTGGGGGCCCCAATGGTGCTTAATGGGTTCACTTCAATTTTAAATAGTTTTTTGGGGGTGGGTTAAGATTCTTAAAGTGAATTTTCTGTTATCTTTCTGTTAATTCTTTAAATTGCTTTTATTTTCTCCTTTATTGATAACCAAGCATGGGCAACTTCATTAAAAATAAAAAACATTTAAAAGTCCAAGGCATCTTCTATTTTCAATTCCGGGAAGGGGAGGGAAGTTTAAAATACAACCCATTTGTTTTTTAAGGACCATTGAAAAATTTCAAACCATTCAACAGTGGTAAGGTAAACTGAATTTCAAAATTTAGGAAAATAAATTGTTTTTAACTATAAATTCCTTCCAATCAACTGTTTTTTCGCTATTGGTTTATTGAGGTACAAAAAACTATTGGCTATTTTCATTGATAAAATTTCAATCTATCAATTTTTTTGCCCAAAAAAAACCAAAACCAATCGTTGTTTTAAGAAAGGCAATTTATTTTAAAGGAACACAAACTAAAAAAAACCAATTAAGATTGGTTCAGGGAAAGCAAAGTGTATAAATGGGGGGAAGAGAAATTTCCAAAACCCCAAAGTACTTTAAATTCATGAAATTCCTCCTTTTTCTTATGGACTAAAAAGCCAAAAAAAAAAAGAAAAAAAAAAAGGGGCATTTCTGGCTGTAATGGAAAAGTCAAGAAAAAAATAAAAAGGGTGGCCAATTATATTTTTCTTTCCTCATTAATTTAACCATTAAAACCAGGCTACCAGGGACCTCTAATGTTGGTTATAGAGAAATTGGGATGGGTGGGGGCCTTTGGCACCATAATTCATTTTAAAAAACAACAGCCCAATCGGTACTTACAGGAAGGCATAAATCCACCTGGGCTTCCAATTGTTCCTTTGAGTTTTTCACTTTAACAGGTTAACAACCAAAAAGTTAGTTGTTTCCAGGCAACTGGAGCTGAATCCATATTTTCCCCATTAAATTTACTGCCTGTGTTTTTGGCTTAAGCAGTAGGAAATTTAATCTGGAAGGCTCAAATGCTTTTTCTCTTTGTGTTTAAAAGTCATGTAAAAAGTTGGTATACTAATTCTTTTGGGCCCATATTGGTTTTGGCATGATTTCCAGGGCTTAAACCTTTCAGGAGTTTGAAGAAATAAGATGGGAATCTGAATTCTTCCTGGGGGAAAGGGGCAATTTTTCTTCTACAAGTAAAAAAACAGGAAGTTCACCATCAGTCCCTGGTAAATAAAAGGAAAAAAGCCAAAAAAATCTACTTTCTGTGGTATTGATAAAAATTTAAAAAGGGGCAGAACTGGGTGAAGGGTGAAAGAAGGGCCAAACTTCCCATATTTGCCATTTAAGGAAAAAACTTACCAACTCATACATTTGAGAAAGCAAAGGAAAGAAAGAGTTCCATATGTGTATATGCCACTAAATTTCTTTACACCATGGATGGTAACCTCCCCAATGGGTCCTTCTTTTCTTCTGGGGCTGGAATTCTTCAATGGACTTTTCCAAGATTATCAAGTGAAAACACCTCCTAGTTGATTTTCCAAATCCTTAACTTAATTTTTAGGTGCTATTTTCATATTGGGAAAAACATTTAAACCAAAATCCAAATATTAAGTTTAGCAAAAGCTGTTAATAAAAAATTTACGGAAAACCTTCTAATTGGTTAAAAAATGGTAAACCCCATTCCAACCTCCTAAAAAATCATCATACCCAGTTTCTCATGCTAGCAATCTGTAATTTTGCTTATTATACTCCCATTCAACAATCTAATAAAATTACCAAGTCTTACCAAGTCTACCAATAAAGACTCTCAACTCCATCTACTTTTTTCTGTTCTCAATGCCATTCCTTTATTCAAAACCACATGATCAGCCAGGTGCGGTGGCTCACGCCTGTAATCCTAGCACTCTGGGAAGCCAAGGCAGGTGGATAGCTTGAGGTCAGGAGTCTGGAACCAGCCTGAGCAAGAGTGAGACCCTGTCTCTACTAAAAATAGATAGAAATTAATTGGCAACTTAAAATATATAGAAAAAACTAGCCGGGCATGGTGGCCCATGCCTGTGAGTCCCAGCTACTCGGAGGCTGAGCAGAAGGATTGCTTGGAGCCCAGGAGTTTGAGGATGCTATGAGCTAGGCTGACGCCATGATCATTATCTAGACTACCCTTGTAGCTGTTTATGTTATTATGGAGAAGAAAAATATATTGGCTTATTTTTCTGACTTTTCCATTACAGCAAAATGCCTTTTTTTTTTTTTTTTGCTTTAGTCATAAAGAAGAGGGAATTCATGATTAAGTAACTGGTTTGATTTCTCTTTCATTATACACTGCTTCTGAACATCTAATTGTTTTTAGTTGTCTAAATAAAATGCCTCTAAAACAAAACGATGTTTGTTTTTTTGGGCAAAAACTGATAGATTTGAATTTTATCAATGAAAATAGCAATAGTTTTTTTACCTCATAACCATAGCAAAAAACAGTTTGATTGAAGAATTTATAGTAAACATTATTTCCTAATTTTGAAATTCAGTTACTTACACTGTGAAGTTTTGAAATTTTCATGTCCCTTACAAGTGTTGTATTTACTTCCCCTCCTTCCAGATTGAATAGAGATGCTTGACTTTTTAAAATGATTTATTTAAATGATGCATGCTGGTTATATAAGGAAAAAATAAAGCAATTAGAATTAACAGAAAGATAACAGAAAAATCACTTAAGATCTTACCACCCCCCAAAAAACTATTAAAATTGAGTGACCATTAAAGCACATTTGGGCAGTGTGTGTGTATACAGATAGATGTAAATGATTTTATGGAAATGGGATAAGTGTAGAGCTGCAGTGTTTTGAAAAATACGGAATTTTCTTTTATCTCATCCTTTAACTGTGGGTGACATTCAAAAAGCCCTTTCACCATCCTTTTAATAAATTGGATCACCTGAGTTTAGACTTGTAATTTATTTCTTAAACTGTGGAGAGGATATTAAACTATTATAGTAATTGAGCAATAACTTCAGACCAATGAATAACATCTCTGCTAGCTAGCTTTTTCTCTCCTGATTGATCTTGTGAATGACCCTTGACAACTTTCCTTAAAAGAACTAAGAACCGGCCAGGTGCGGTGGCTAATGCCTATAATCCTAGCACTCTGGGAGGCCGAGGTGGGAGGGTCGCTCAAGGTCAGGAGTCGCTCAAAACCAGCCTGAGCAAGAGTGAGACCCTGTCTCTACTAAAAATAGAAAGAAATTAGCCTAACAACTAAAAATATATAGAAAAAATTAGCCGGGCATGGTGGCGCATGCCTGTAGTCCCAGCTACTCAGGAGGCTGAGGCAGGAGGATTGCTTGAGCCCAGGAGTTTGAGGTTGCTATGAGCTAGGCTGATGCCATGGCACTCTAGCCAGGGCAAC